AAAAGAGGAATCAAAAAATACCCTACAGGAAACATTGGCGAAGCAACGAAAGTCACAAATTTTATTCTCAGCACTGAAAACAGTCGGCTTCTGGCAGTTCATTTCAACAAAGCATTTTGCACTTAATTCATGAAGATTATATTTCAGAAGGCTATAAAAATACCTATATATCCAAAAGTTTTCACCATTTCTTTTTTATTTATCTCGTCTTATATTCAAAATATACCTTTATATGTTGTGGAGCGATGACGAAAATAAACACCAAGGCTGTCAATCATGAAGAAAAAAAGGGGTTCTGAGTCGGAGGTATCGCGCGTCCTTCCGGTTAATAAATTAATCATTTGAAAAATAGTTAACACTTTCCAACTAACGGGTCGCCGACAATTAAAAAAAAAACAACAAAAAACAACAACAACAAAGATGCTTCGTGATCCCTTTGAAGAGTATTTAAGCAAAGTTCCTAGACGGAGAAAAGCAGTAAAGAACGGTAACAGTGCACGACGGCAGCTTAAGAGAGATTTTCTTACTCATTCATCAGTTTTCCTCACGAAGCTACGTGACACTTACACTTTCTTCCTCACTCATGCACGCAAAGAAATCTCTTAACAAAACAACTACAAACAAGGAACTTTAAGACAAGAACCTTAACACTCATGCACGCTGAGAAAAATTTAGTTGTTTAAACATGAAAATAAAAATATTTTATATTTTTATATTTAAAATCCTTTCTTTATGTTGTGGGTTGATTCAAATCCTCCACAATGTAAACATGTTTAGCATAAACGCTTCGCATATCAATTACTGACGAGCGATTTTGATCTTCGTGAGTTCCCCATATTTATTGCGTATATAATGGAGTGGAGTAATGGATAGCGGCTCGGATTGAGGAATCGGAGAGCCGAGTTCGAATTCTAGTTGAATCCAATACATTCACTTACGTGCTAATACCGTTGGGAAAGGTATGAATCCTCTTCTCTCTCCAGCTATGGGTAAAATAGTAGGATGACAACTGGTCTACCGCAGAAAGAAGTGGCAACCTACTGCGGGAAAAATCTGCCTCGTCAGTCATGTATCAAAAGATACACGATCGCCTAAGCGTGACACATCACTGATTGATATAATGATAAGCAATCCATTTTCTATAATCGAGCTTCCGATTCAAAATCCTTTTTCGAGTGAACATAATGTTGAATGCTTATATTTAGTCATCATATTTTTGCAGCTGCATTCAAAGAGATTCCGTATAATTAGGAGTTACGACTGCAAATTAAAGGTTTCAGTGTCAGGTTTAGAGACGGTATCTCCTTGCTGTTGACAGTAGCGTTCCTCCACCAAGCAGATGTGATTCAAAACAACAGTCTGTTCTTGTACGTACCGCCATTTTTTTTTACCATCACCGCGTATTATAGATTGGATTTTTTGTTGTTGTCAAGGTTTTCTCCTTGAACATTTTATCACTCTGTATGTGACTTCATATGCTATACAAAAAGTGTATCCTAGCACTGAAGATGACTGATACCTGAACAATAGTGAGTTTGAATTTCATAGTTGTGTTGTCATATCCTGCTATGGCAACAGAAAACAACTTTGAGTGAAATCAACAATAAAGAGACTGTAATTGAGAGGCCTTGAAAAAGAATGCAGTGGAAAAAGAAGTAATGTTAATAATGCAAAATGCTGAAGGTTCTTAAGCAGTCTCCCATCTAAGTGCTAATTAGGTGAGGGGCTTTTTAACTTTGAATGAAAACCGGGGCTTTCAGCGTGATCTAACCGTAAGCTAAATTTAAAAAATACACAATTATGTCATGCATTGCAACGTGTACTTTCATATTTCTTTTATTAACAAGAAACTTTATAAACCTTTTTCAGGTATCTGTCATGGCTGATAATCTTGGTATTTCAAACTAAACCTTTTATTCAATCCACAAGGGTGTAGAATAGATTTTTCTGAATTCCCTGTCCATGGCGGAGGATCGTCATTCCATTTAATTCTTTTGGACAAGGGAATAACGACTCTGAATTGAATGAAGGGCTTGATTTGTAATTTCCAGAAGGTCACTAATTATGGCAGCCAACTGGAGGCCTGGGGGTACAATGGTCAAAACATTGCAAAAACAAAAACTAACATTAGGACAACAATCAGAGTAAGTTAGTGTATAATAATAATAATAATAATAATAATAATTATTCCTTATCTCAATATTTTCAGACAAAAATTACGTGAATTTATTTTTCTTGTAGAGATAGTTTTAAATGAAACTAGTCAAGAATGATTGTGGAGGAGGAGAAACCTGGACAGGGCAATTAAAACAATACTGTATCATATGCAGTGCCGGATATACATATAGGCTAGTATGGGCTTCAGCCCAGGGGCCCCAAGATTAGAGAGGCCCCCAAGGGTTATCTAGTCATGGGCCCCTGATAAAACTAAAAAAAATAAAGAAAGAAAGATATAAAAACAGAGGAGATTTGTTTATTTTCAAATTTAATGGGGATCCTTTGAAGTAATTTGAAATAATTTAGAGTATTTGGACCGCTCCGGTTGGAGTGTTTTTTTTTTTGTTTTTTTTTTAATTCAAGTGGGCTCCATTTAGAATTTGATGCATCTTTTTTAAAACATCATCCAAAAATATCTTTTTTTATAGACACAAAGGCGGGCAATATACGTTATGAAGCGGGGGGTGTCTATTAGCCCTAGGGGGCCAATTATAGTTTAATTCTGACCCCGATTATATATATTTTAAAACATCCATTTTTTTATAGCTCTTTGAAATAAATGATACATAAAGTGATTCTAAAATATCTGTTGTCCTAGTTAAAACCAAAACACTTCTAATTTCTTTCTATTGAGTCATTTTTTTTCACACGCTATCTACTGAGATCTATTGACTATAAATTTAAAGTACGGAAGCAAACATCAAATAAAAAAAAAAAAAAAAAAACCATTATTTACAGTCGGACATTTTGGCCTCTATATCCTCCTGACTTTTTCTGGTGTCTCTTGACCCAGGTAACCTTCAGGGAATTTCGAACGAAACCCTTTATAAAATCAACGGGGGTAGAGTGTTCTCGTTATTTGTCTATTTAATAATATCTCGTCTTCTCGAAATTCCCTGAAGTTTACCCGGATCAGCAGACATCTGAAGAAGTCCAGAGGCACAGCTGCCGAAACACTTTGATAATAAGAAAACATGTCGACATTAGTCCGACTGTAAATAATGCTAATGGTAATATTAGCTGTTTCCTTATAAGGAAAAATTTGGCATTTATTGACCGAACACCCAGTGCCACCCTCGCTTGAAATTTATAAAATATTTCTCTTATATCAATTTTTCGTAAAATAGGTTTCTCAAGTCCAGTAGCTGTTATCACTTTTTCCAGTATTGATGGAGATTTCATTCAATACTTGTCTATATTTCTGAGGTAAGGTATTGTAACTATTTACATCGTTCGGGTTGTTAAACTAATCTTTAATACCAGGACGTTTTGGCCGTTGTACGCTCTAGTCTTTTTCAGGTGAATTAGTTCACGGCGGTAAATTATTCTAATTCCACGTGCCATGCCTTTTTTTTTTTTTTTGGCTATCTCACTATCAGTTAATTTCCTTTAGTAATTAAAATCTCCTAGTTTTTGTTCCCCCTGCTGTGGCCTGGTATTGAGTCACTTTTTGGATTACTTCAACCAATGCTTTTTATCTACTGAGCTGTGTGTCCCCAAGAACACAATTAAATAGGAAGTTTCCTTCCTAACCTTTTGTTTAAAGTAGAGTGGAAGTTCAACATTTTTTTAAATTTTTTCGTTGAATTACATGTGCTATCCATTTTAGTTGTAGCTGTTGTTGAAAGTAATGGGGGTTATGTTATTTCGTACAGTTCTTTGTGATTCTGTAACGTCAGTTCAAAAGATTTGAAGAAGAATAGACTGTGATGAGACTTACAAGCTTCATTCGCTCAAAACTATTTTCCCCATTGATCTTAGAAAGCAGTTGTATACATCTGACAGTTTAGATATTTCTGAACTAGTAATGGCGCTATGTATGACATCCATATCAAAGTCTCGTCAGAGAACAATGACCTCAGTTTTTAGATTAACATTCTGATTTTTGTTTAGCAATTTGTGATGTTGGGCAAAACTAAACTAAGCACAGTCAATTCTAGATTCAATTTCCTTTTCTCCTTAACTGAATTTGTTATAACTGGTCCATACACCGAGGTATTTGAAGTGTTTACTATTTATTAATTCTACATCCTGAATTCTTATGATAGATTTGGAGTAAGTGTCATCACGGCTTTCATTCCCACTCCAGATCATATATTGTTTTGGAAAGTCCTATTTCTGATTAACTTCTAATTCTAGAAATTCAAACATAGATTAGTTAAATAGAAATTGGGACCGGTTTCTGCCAACACAGAAATTAATGTATGTGACTGATGACCAAGATGGGCTGACTGATCGATGCCTACAAAAATTAGTTGTGTAAGTTTTATTAACTGATGAATCTACCTTTCCCTAACCCCATATTCTCGATTCGACGAAAAATAATATATTGCTAGCCTCATAGTCAGGTTTCCTTTTAATGGAAGAAAACATATTTGTGGGAAACTAATTAATTTTTTCTTGCTAGGGATACGTGGAGAGTCTGAAGCCAAACTAATGGGGAGACATATTGCTTTGCAAGGAAATGAAACTAAAAGAAAAAAAAAAAGAAGGAAAGTGAAGACCGGAAGTTGAAGCAATGGTGATAAAATCGATAAAAATTGGGAAATAAATAATATTTCAAATAAAAACAAAAAAACAAAATCTCTTAAATCAGTGCAAGTAGCAAGAGATTAATTAAACATGAGCCATGTGACCAATGTGTAGACAAAAGAACTGGAAAGGAAATGAGTCCAGAAGGAAGTTGCTTACCTTGAAGTATGCAAGGGACTGGGGCAAAGTGAACAAGCTCGAACTGAAATCTCAAAGGACAATGAAGGGAGCGGAAACAGATGGGGCACAGTTTACCAAAGAGAAAATGTCGAAAGCTGAAGTGGCGCAGGGAATCTAGAACAGAGAGAGAGTGGGGGGAAAAGCTGGAGAGTGTAAGAAAGACAAAAGTGGTGGTGAAAAAGAGAGAGAAGAGAAAGAATCGCGCGATCGAGAGAGAGAGAGAGAGAAAGAATCGCGCGATCGAGAGAGAAGAGAAAGAAAAGAATCGCGATCGAGAGAGAGAGAGAGAGAAGAGAAAGAATCGCGAGAGAGAGAGAGAGAGAGAGAGAGAAGAGAAAGAATCGCGCGATCGATCGAGAGAGAGAGAGAGAGAAAGAATCGCGCGATCGAGAGAGAGAGAGAGAGAAGAGAAAGAATCGCGCGATCGAGAGAGAGAGAGAGAGAAGAGAAAGAATCGCGCGATCGAGAGAGAGAGAAGAGAAAGAATCGCGCGATCGAGAGAGAGAGAGAGAGAAGAGAAAGAATCGCGCGATCGAGAGAGAGAGAGAGAGAGAAAGAATCGCGCGATCGAGAGAGAGAGAAAAGAAAGAATCGGGAAAGGGAGAAATATCCGAGCGATCAACAAAGAAAGAAACTCTAAAGAGATGTAATCGAGGGAGAAATAATGGAGCGATTGACAGGGTGAGGGAATCGAGGGAGAAAGAAAAGAAATTGGGAGAATTGAGGGAGAAAAATCTATCAATCAATTTTAGATCTAGAAGAGACAGGAAACAGTGGAGAGCCATGTTAGCCCAAGTTGTGAAGGGACACGGCTCATAAATGATGATGCCTCATATGACACAAAGATGAGTGATGGATAGTCCAAAAATTGCTTGGTACTTTTGGTTTCTTCTGTATTTGTGACCAAAAAGTTCGAATGAAATGTACAAGCTATTGACCCAGTTCAAACGCGTGATAGCTTCCATAGTGCGGCAAAAGTTTTGGAATTAGTTGTTTATTTTGTCATTTTTCATCGATAGATGACCGAATTTTATTGCATATTCGCTATGGTACTTAGACTTTTTAAAAAAAAAATTCAAGTGCAGGACTCAACTGGCGTCGAGATCTCATCAATTTATAGGCGAGCTGGATAGATGTATGTAACCTTAAGTTCTATGCTAACAGTTTCTTTTACCGTATTTTTCGCTTGTGGAACTTCCTTCCTGTTCCATACTTTCCAGCCAACTTTAATCTGCATTTAAATGCAATGTCAATAACTATATACTGTCCCCCTGAATACTATTTTTGTTCTCGCTCCTTAGTAATGTTTTTATTTCTAATTCTTCCACACCCAGTAACCCCTTGTGGCTTTAATACCTTGCATGGGGTGAAATCTATTTTAAAAAATAGTTTCTAAATAAATAAAATCCAAATATCTGAATGAAATTGCCCGAACATAATCCAACCGAAATATATATGGTAAGGAATGGTAGTGGTGCTGATAGTAAATTTAAAACAAAAAAAAAAAAACAACACCTGAATCCCCGGGATACACAGGTGGTGATTTGGTCGAGTCCCTTGGAAATTCAATGGTTCCCAACTAATTATTAAAATTTCTTAAAACCCTTTGGAGACAGAGTCTCATTTGGAGTTTCGGTGCCAAGACGACGGGGCCAATTTTACAAGCCTTCACTTGGAACACAAAAAAATCGATATAAATAAAATCACAGAATATAGCAAACTATCATAGAAACCGCCATTGAAAGGCCCAGATGTGCAAAAGATGCGAGAAGCAATCTGATTGGCTGGTATTAAAACCAGCCAGCTAATCTCGAGGCTTGTATTATCGAACCGATGGATCTTTTTGGACGTATGCCGTTTCTTAAGGTTTTTTAAATTAGTTAAACTGTAAGGCTACAGACTAATTTTTTTTTTAAATCATCGTCTTAAAAAAACAAGACAAAAAACAATTTTTAATGATACCTAATCACTTAAATTGACATAAATTCAAAACAAATACGGTACACTTGACGCAAATCACAGTTCATTTAAAAACTTTTTTTAAAAATTATGACAATTTTTTTTTTTTTTTTTTTTGACAGAACAAAGTTTTTTGCGTTTTTTCCTTTTTTAATTAACAGATCACGACAGCTATTAGGGGGATATGATTATACTTTAATGTTTAAAAAAAGTATTCAGCATTGTTTAGGTAAGCATTATTAGCACAAATTCTTTTTTCCGCATATTGTGGAAAAAGGAATTTTCGACAATATACGCATTTTTTACGTACGGTTACTTTTTAACTTTTATCAAAAACAACAATCTTGTACATGTAGTTTTGGATAATATTATACATTAATTACTAAATATTTTAATTAGTAACTATTTGTGCTCAGTTGTTGACATTTAATAACTATTTTGATGATGTGTTAAAATTTTGGAATAAAGCAATAATAAAAATTTAAATTTCATCTGTTAGATGTCACGATCTGTAAATACAAAAATATATTTTTAAAAAAATATATAAAAACGAGCCAAGAGGGAGTCTGACAAAGTGACAGTGATGTCTATTTCATGTCACCCACACATCCTTCCTTTTGCCCAGTGAAAGAAGGGACGAGTAAGTGAAAGGAAGAACTAATAAAAGTATTTGAAAGAATAACATCAAATGATTAATGCTGTATTTATTATTTATAATTACAAAAAATATCGGCCTCTCTACAGTCTATACCAACCCATCAATTTCTTTTGTCTGAAGACATTTTTTGAGCTCCGTTAAATGTCAACAGTGAACTGAATGTTTAAGAATACAAAAACAACATTTTGCGCTCATAGTTTTAATTTAAAAAGTATGTTAGTTAAAAAAATACAAAATATTTAAATAAAAATAAAATATCTATGTGCCAATTACCATCAATGGGTCATTTGAAGATGATTCAAATTTGGTTACAGAAACAATTCTAATTAGTTACATTTTTTTTTTTTAATCTTTTGCGCAGTGTATCACTTTTCATGAAAAAATTTAGTTGCGTTCCTGGGAGACAGAGATGGGAAAGTTACTGCGTCCTTTAAGAATTGTTGTATCAGGAACGCAGGGCACTCACCTACCAACACCTCTGGAAGGGTTAACACTAACAGTTAACTAACTTGTATATGTGGATTACAAATAGAATTTAAATTTTAATTAAATTAAAAACGATAAAATTCAAAATAATTTAAATTTGGAAACGGGTCATTTTCCCAAAACGACGTACTAAATTATTTAAGATACTAGAGGAGGGGGGGGGTCACCTTGAGGTGCTGTAATGTAATGATTAGCAAGCTTGTCTCACTAAAACAATTACGACTGAATAGTGAGTTCGATCCTCACTATTCATTCCGTTTCAACATCAGTTTCTTGATGTTGAAATGAAATTCAACACCCCAGTGAGGATCTTGAGCCATATCTAAACTATGCTTGAAAATAAGATGTGAAAGGGTGCTGAAAAGTTCTCGACCCAACAAAGAAGCCTCCTCGAGCAACTATAACAACAAAAAAAGCATGTTTTCGCAAAATGGTTATATCGAGGGCCGAATGGAGAACTTTTCGCTGATCATGCATGAAGAGTTAGCAATTTAAAAAAAAAAAAAAAAAAAAAAAAAACGGGGTTGATTGTTTTAATATTTCCGAGTAGTACTTGTCAATCATCTGTCGCCACTTTTTAAAATGTTTCTTTCTTGCGGGTTATCTGTCGCCACCTTTTAGTTACGGTTAATCATCGATACAATTTTGTTGAGCCAGATACCGAAGTCCACACTTATTTGACTTATTCGACGCCACCCTGCAGACTATCGACGCGTTCAAGCCCACCCCAACCAAATAATACTATTAATGTCTGTTATTTGGAAGAAAAAATATAATTTAAAAAACAGAGTATATTTTTTTACACATCTGTATTTGTGAAAAAGTTAGAAAATTAATTTTATATGCAATGACAAAAAAAAAACAAAAAAACACAAGTACCCATTTCTAAATTTCTGGTATGAGGAGATATCAATATTTTTGGACTCATGGCCTCATCTTTAAAGTTTATTTATTTTTTTAAGCATTACGCCCCGAGCAAGGCGTGAAGCCACTAGGATGCAGGGGGTTGCAGAAGATTTGGAGCCAGAGCAGATAGGAGTGATAGAAGAAAGGATGAGGAGAAGGATAGTGGGTAGATCAAGGTAACTGGAGGTGTCGATTGACATTACATTTGAATAGTTGGAGATTATAGCTCTCAGGGAAACAGTAATTGGGAAGGGTGTTCCACAGGCGAGAGGTGCGAGGTATGAAGCTATTGGAGTAGAAGAGACGGCTACATTTAAAAGTTTCTACAGTGTAAGGGTGGGAGCAGGATGCCAGCCTCGTAGGGTGCTTGAATTCATGGAGTCTGGGAACCAGTAAAAGCAGCTCATTATTATTACAACGTTTCAGCTATTTCGCCTTCTGGTCATCATCAGGTGTATGTTGATCAGAGTAACATTCAGGGAATACATGGTCATTAAAAAAGAAAAGGCAGATTCCGAAAATTCCATAAAAACAAATGCTAAGAGACAGAAAAAGGTTCAAAGTTAATAAAATAAATGACAATTTTTTTTCAATCTTGTTTAAATGCTAGTTCTTTTTTTTCCAGAGTTTGTATAAATTTAAATTTTTATAAAAAGGGAATCATGTTCATCCTCGTTGGCCTCTTAAATCACCAGATCACATACGATTTTTATCTGTGAAGTTATATAAAAGAAATGGTGTTTGTTCCACTCATGCCTGCTACTCGAGATTTATTGCGTTAACATACAGCAATTGTGGCAACCTATGCCTGCTACTCTTGAAGATTTGAGACATCGAATTCTTGAAGCTGTGAAGTCAATATTCCCAGATCAATTGATTCGAATGTGGTAAAAAGTGGAATACCGTTTTGATGTTTGTCTCGCAACACATGATGCTCAGGTTGAGTGCATATATAAGTGAAACAACCATAAAATAATAAACTTTGAATCTTTTCCTATCCAGTAATATTTGTGTTTATTAAATTTTCGAATTCTGCTCTCTTTTAATAACCCTGTATGTGTAGGAACAAATAGGAAATGTTTTTATCCTATCATTCTGCGGATTTCTGATCTATATTTGATCCCAATTCATACATGTATATTTAGGTAGTATATCTTCATTCATACATGTTTCATTGAATAATATAGACATATTGTGACTACTTATTTTTATACTGATCCTTTCCAGTCGTCTAATCAGTTTCTTGATGTTAAGATGAATTTTATCGGGGAAGGTACCGTAATTTTCTTTCTTTTTTTTTTTTTAACCCACATACTTTCGACCTTTTCTAAGATCGTCTTCAGGGGTAAATTACGAAGACAGACATGCTATTGTAACTTCGATAAAAATCACTATCACAACAGAATGCAGATTTTATCTGCGCCTTCCTTGATGTATATAAAAGACAAGAGGAAAAGCTTACTTCAAACGAAAAGTGGTTACTCGTATTTTAAATAAATGCCTCATTGTTATTTATATTTTAAACAGTATATTACGTCTATCGCCTTGCGCATTCAAGAAATCTTAAAGAAAATGTGCTCTCTAACAGGGATTGAACCTACATCCCCCTTTGACACGACCTTCTTTACCACTCGGTTACAGTTGGAGCGTTTATTTCAGATACAAGTATCCACTAAATAATAACGTTTGAAGTCATAAAAATGTCAGATTAAAAATAAATCCATAATATTTATATATTTTTTATATACAATAACACTTTAATTGACTTAATATATCTTAATAAAAATAAAAGTAATAATTAATTTGGAGTAATTAAATAAGTAATATTTTAATAAATTGTAGATGACTGATGTCGGACGTAATGATTGCAATAAATGAAATACGATTCTATCACCAACATTTATTTTATTGAGATAAATGATACTGACAAAAAAGAAATTTGGTAAATGATCTATAAAGACAGTTTACTTTTGTTTGAATTTATTTTTCATGCCTTTTAGCAAAATTTAAAAAACTCAAGGACGCAAAAATACAACAATGCGGGCGAAAGTTAAAAGCAGTTTTTTTTTTAAAAGATAAATATCTAGGCCATGGGACTGGAGAGTTTATGGTAACATCTAAATCAAAATCATTTCTAAAATAATTAAACACTAACCATTGCATGACATCTACTTGAGATGGTGCTTGAATTAATTCCTAATGACCATTTCGCTTTCTGAGTTTTAATGCATTTCTTAAACGTCCACCCATCTGCAATGCGCTTCCAAAACCGCCCAACCCACCTCCAATCCACTCCTCAACCGTCCACCCGTCTGTAATGTGTTTTTAGATCATTTATTAGTCTGCAATGTAACCTAGTTCTATCTGCAAAACTTCATTTGTTTCCTGAACTTTGACTATCCCCTTCATGATGTGGAATTAGTAAATTCTTAACATTTCAAATATCTCGGTGTAAGTATGTGCTAGGGGTAGTTTCACCCAATACTACAAGTTGCCACATAACTAAAACATTTACCTAAGAACTTGAGTCATGTTCTTAAATACACTCGTCAGATCAAGATTTTCATATGGATGTTATGCATGCTTAATGTCAATCATACTGATAAGAATGTAATAGCTATTTTTTCTAACTCCTGCCAGTAGATATGACTGTATGGTTTGCCCAAGTCCATCTGCATTTTTCTCTGTCAATCATTGTGACATATATTTCAATTATAAATTTTATAAGGCTGTGATATAAAGCTTTCATTGATCACTGGAATGAAATTCTAATGTTCCAATTTTGAAATTAAACTTAATCTTTAAGCTCATTTCTTCAAAAAACGTTAGTGATTTAGAAAAAAAAATATTTTGTGTCACTATTCATCATATCAAACCCTAACTTCCAAATTGAGTGCAATACCACAGTTCCAAAATTGACCTGCCTTAATGGCCATATGGTTTGACCAACTTCTTACCATCTATATTTTCTCTGTCAACCATTGTAGCATGTCATTGACAAAAATATTTTATTTAGATATCTATCAATGGGATAAAGTGCAGTTGTATGAATTCATTTTGTTCCCAATGGCATTTGTGTTAATTGAATAGAAGCAAATTCAATTAAAATTTGAACTCAGTCCTCCAATATTTTTCTCTACTGATATCCATTAAACCAGCAATAATTGCCCAGATTTGAATAGAAATGGAGTTTTGAGAGGGATAAGAAAAATGAATTGAGAAAATTATGGTATAGACAATTGTATTCATTCAAAACAAAAGGTGATATGTGCCCAAAACTGAGGTCAAAGAGCCCTGAAATTTCTGTTCCCAATCATGTTCTTAAATAGCCTGGTCAGATTGAGACTTTCATATGAATGTCAATGCATGATGTCAAAAACATTCAGAAATTTCTAAACTGATAGCAGTATACAGTTGCTTTCTCTCATCAATGGTTAAAAAAGGCTTTGAATAAATGAAGCCTGTAGGTCTTAGAGAGGACCATCCTTCTTCAAACATTGTGGATTGGCACTACAAAATCACAAACAAAGAACTGTATCAAATAACAGAAACCATATTACTTGTAGACTTTCAGCAACAATTACTATGGATAGCACATGTTATCCCAAAGGTTTTCATTTATCCAATTATAGATTTTATTGTCTTTTCCTTACTTCTGGACAGTGAGTGGTTGCTTTGAAACTCACATCTTCATTTTACTATTGATACAGTTGTTAGTCATAAAAACTGCTACTCACTCCAGTCATGTTCTTAAATAGCCTTGTCAAAATGAGACTTTTATATGGATGCCATGCATGGTGTCAAAGTGTACATCTCTTTATTAAAATATCCTTCAGAAATAAATATATACTTTTCTGAAACTTTATTTGAGGAATATTAGCCAATTTAAAGTTTAATTAATCTGATTTGAAACAAATATTACTTTAAGTTTAAAATATTAAAGAAATATATTTTTAACAAAACAGTAGGTGTTGACAAATGGAAGTTTATCTATATTTTTTTTCCTACAGTGTATATATCTGTAAAAGGAGCACCCTTTTTGATATAATTTTTAACTCCCCAGTAATCTTGAAAATTTAGCAAGATAATGTCTGTAATCTAATGTTTTATTGAATTTTAGGTACTTTGGCTTTAAATTTACTTCAGTTATCGCTCTTATTTTCTGATAATGTCACGGATGGACATTTGTATTTATAAAAATCATCCCACTTACACAAACAAATTATTTTTTTTTAAATATCGATTGCTGAATTGTAAGTAAATATAGTTTTTACTTCATAACAATATCACCTCACTGGTACATATTAATACAGAAATCTAAAAGATTTAAAACTATAAATTATTCTAATTAAAAAATTTCAAGTGAAAACAATTCTTGTAAAAATTCATGATTCATTGAAAAAGAATTTTCTTAAGACAATAATGTCCATAATATATCTTATTCATAAAAGCAATTAAAAGCTTTTCTAATTAAAATGTCTTAGATTTATGGCATTCTTTATTTTATGATTCAGAGTAGATTTTCGGTCATTGGTTGTCCTGTTTGACAAGAAAAAAATGATTTAAATTCTCCAAGGAGTTCTGCTTTTAATTACTATAAACATTAAGCGGTATGAATTTTGTGAAATTTCATAAAGTTAAGTCAGGTGAAAAAACGATATTAATCAAGATTTTCTAAAAACAAAACATTTCTAAAATAATTCCATTAATTTGTAAATAAGTCCTGAATGTTTCAGTAAAATCTGACAATTATTTGATTATTGCAAGAATTTTCAAATCAACATGTTTTTCCCCTACAAAAAAGACACTTAATATTTCCTACGCCAATCTTTGGTCCCCTGATGACATAAGAAAAACAAGACTTAACCAAAATTTTGAATGTTCTGAAAAGCAATGAAACAAAAAAAAAAAAAAAAAAAATTCAAAAATTCAAAATATCATTTGGTCTTACTTCTTAGTTTTAATAATAACAAAAATTTCGACAATATTATTTCATCATAGTATGAGGTAATTTACAGTATCAATCACCAGAATGATAACTGATAGTTTATGCATAAAAATACTTATCTATACCTATTTGAATCAATTGGGTGTTTGTTTTCATCCAGGGACCATAAAAAAATTGACTTATTTCCAACTCAACAGAAACAATTCAAGAGGAAAATAATTTTTTTTTTTTTAAATTTAGCCATGCTGTTAAAATTTGACAAACACTGTGCTTGTCAAAAAAGAAAAGAAAATACATTTTTTTTTTTAAGACGCCAATATTTTAAAATTAGGGATGTTAAAATTTGCTCAAGACTACGGAAGAACAAAAAGAAATATATATATATATATATATATATATATATATATATACACACACACACCTTGAAGATCTGTTAGGTGAAATGTTGGTACATGGGTTCTGGCTCATAAGGTTTTTTTAAGATTTTGTTCTATTTAGTGTATTGAGCGTAAACATTTTTACTTAATTTACTGTTGGTGTTTTTTCTTTTAGCTAAGCATTGTGGTGATGATTGATTACTATTGACCAATACAGATGTCTTTAGTCTTTTTTTTTATTTTTTTTTTTTTACTGAAATTTTTTCCCCTGATATTGGTTTGTTCAAATATATTTTTATTTAGAAATTGTATAATCCGTTTTTTTTTTTCACATCACCCAAGTATACGTATTAAAATAATTATATATATATATATATATATATGCAGAAATATAGTTTTAAAGTGTGCTATATTTATGGGATAAAGTGTTCAATATCAGAGAGAGCATATGTAAATATGAATATAAAAGTGAACATTGAAGTCAATACTCAGAGGTGACAGACTGTTTCATGCTAGATGCAATTGTCAGACCTGATGATTGCGTCTAGCATGAAACAGCTTGTCGCTTCTGAGTGTTGACTTCAATGTTCACACACACACACACATATATTATATATATATATATATATTATATATATATATTTATTATATTTTAGGTATGTCCACTTTTTTGGCTAAGATTTTCAATACCAAAGGTTTAAAATGATGAATTTTTAAAAATGAAAATGCATCCTTGAAGATTTCATTTTAGCTTTAATTGAAAGCAAAATGAATAAATTTACTATTTCCAGTAAGTAAAACACTCTGGTATATTTCAAATAGAAATTGTATTGATTAGAATCTCAACTTTTTGCTCACTTTCAGAAATCGTTTAAATTCAGCCATTTTTGACAGATTTGTAAACAAAATTTAATTTTAATTCTCAGTTTTAAAAATCTTCCAAGAAAAAAGCATATTTTTTTAAAACTTATATTATAATTAGTATTGCCTACCATATTTACTCGTGCATGAGAAATTTTGAATGAAAATTTAAGCTAAAAATGTGGGGTGTATTATACACAATTATGTTTTCAGAATTTTTTTTTTACTCAGCTTAAAAAAAAATGCTGTAACTTGAAACAGCAACCTTGCAAATATACTGTTTGCACAATAGATAATAAAACACAAAGTAGGCAGGTGTTAATAAAAATTGTTTACAAAAAGGTATTTGATGTGTTGGCAAATTTTGTTCTCTGGGAATCAGCAGTAAATTCACTAAAATTGATTAAAAATATTAATAAAGGGAATACATAAAAACTGTCATGTGTTGTTTTGATAACATTAAATGTTACAACAAAGCATATAAGTTTTGAAATGGAAATTTGCAGAAACATGCAATGGCTAAAACATCTGGTTCATTTCTGTTCTTTAATATCATGAAAAATTATATTTAGTATATGTGTTCAGCAGTGAGATTTAAAAAGATAATATGGTACAGCTTTAAAAAAATTACATAAAAATGGCTGTACTACAGGGTTGTATAATATACTCAAGAATGTAATTTATTCCCTGTCTTCAGCATCAGAAATACGGTTTGTAATTATGCTCAAGTCAATACAGAAGAAAATATAGTCTGACACAGGAGTTAACTATTAGTCAATGAGAATTTACTGAGGCATGGTTATCACCCCCTGTGCTGTAAGTGAAGCCATGTTTTTCAAGATTTAAGATGGGAGAAGTTGTTCAGCCCCGTGTATTCCAACCCTGGGACAGCACCTTCCTTATTACACTAAAGAGGTTGGGTTGGTGTAATACTAATGTCAGCGTGAGTGGTGGTGGAGGCTGGGCAAAAACCAATTTTTGTCCTTGGCCCATGCATACAAGTATGAATATGGTGCTTCCCACATTAAAATGACCTTGTGGGAGGCCAGGTAAACATCTACTTGTCCACAGAGTCACTTTGATGAGTTGTACTAATAGTTAGCAAGCTGTTATGGCTAAGTCAATTATGACTGAGTAGTGAGTTTGAGCCTCACTGGGTGCTCTATACTTTCGGCCTTGTGCCACATCTAAACTATGCTTAGTAAATAACTAATACTTACCTGCCACTTTTGCAGGGAAAGTTTCAAAATAATATTAAGCTTGAGCCCCAGGGGGCCATCACCCCAAGGCAATATTTCCCTTTAGGGAGGGAGCTGGGGTCATTACCTGGTGCCTGAGGCATTCTCACTAAGGGCAGTGCTGAGCGGGGGGGGGAGCAATTTTCTAGATTATTACTGTTAAACCTACTTTAAACCTCAACCTTGTGTCACACTTGTCGACTGACAAGTAATTAATTTAAAATAATGAATATGAACACATTCACCACAACGAGTACTTAGCTGCAGTTAAATTTGTTGCTTTTATAGAGTTTCTGGAAAAAAAAAAAAAAAAAAAAAAAAAAACTTTTAATAAATGTATTTGACTCAAAGTAAAGAAGCTGTGGGTTATCCCCACTTGGCTTTGCCAAAAATGCTCATTAGTGTGCACTCTGTAAGTCTATAAAAAGGCAAGCATATTTTCTCTTTCTTTTTAACTCTTGCTTCCAGATATAGTCAAATATAGACAAAGAACACTGCTGATGGGACACATTTGCTTCCTTGGTCCTCTGTTGATTTTTTAAACTTTCTCACACATGCACATATACACGTGTTTATCACACGTCTATTTCACACATAACAAGTACATTCTTTTCACAAGTTTAATGTATTTTAGTTTCATTTCAATTGTGTACACATGCAATTAATCAATACATGCATATAATTGCTGTTTGTTTTAAATTCATTTTTTTGTGTTATTTTTACCCAATCTCACATGAGTCCACCAATATTGTTTGCAAGACAAACATTTCAGGAGCCTATAAATATTTATTGTAAAACAATCACACACCTCATATCCAAAGTGTTAATTCCCAAAATAGTGATTTTTCAAGCATAGCTTAGATGTGGCACATGGCTGAAAGTATGGGACACCCAGTGAGGATTGAACTCACTACCTAGTTGTAATTCTTTTAGTGAAACAAGTTTGCTAACCATTACACCGCCTTGAGGTGCCCAGCAATATTCCAAGTGTAGCTTAGATGTGGCTCAAGGCCAAAAGTAGGGTGCACCCAGTGAGGATCGAACACACTAGTCAGTTGTAATTATTATAGCAAGACAAGGTTGCTAAACCTTACACTGCCTCGAGGTGCCCTTCCCACAATATAACAGTGACCTACACATAGAATCCTGCAACAAAGCTAATAATTTTTTCTGTTATTAGAATATTTATTACAAAGTTATCTTCTTAAGTTTATAAACTTACTTTATAATTACGAACGGCTTAAGAAGGGCATGGTTGCTGGACCAAACGCCAGTAACATTTGTCATTGCTTAAAAAAACATTGAAAATCTTTCGGAAAATTTCCAAAGAATAGAAATAGTTTCAAAGTTGAGTATCAGCCATTCTCACAAGAGTTTTATGAGATCAGGAAGTAGAGTTTTCTAGCAGAATGTCTGTAGTGAAGAGAAAAAGAAAATCCTTGGCTCCAGTAAACTATATAGTTTAGAAGAGTATAATCATTTTAGCAGTAGTCTGTGTAATACTTCATGAATGACTGAAGTACCTCTGAGTATCACTGGAGAACAGGAAGAGTAGAGGCAGATGAATGAAAACAGAAAACTATTAATGAATAACAAAAACAAATTTTGAAAAAAAAATGGTGTACAATATGAGTGAAAGTAAAGAACAAATACAATTTTTCAGTGATGGAACTAGGACAACAGAATTAACACTTTCGAAATAGCCTGGTTATGTTGCTGTGGTACTGCACCTAGTTGGGCTAAAAGCAGTGGCAAAGAAATTTGACAGATGTAAATGATGAGTTGTCATTACTTGCAGAGGTGAAAGGAAATGGAATTAATTTCAATATTTTTGTCTTTATATAACTGAGTCACAAAGGAGAAAAAGTACACTAGTATGGATGGATAGTTGAAGAGAAAGAAGACATTAAAATATCAGAATTAGGAATTGTGTATGTGATACCCGCATGTGTTTCTGTGAAAGAGTTCAGTCACTCAGTGAAAAGACATCCCCATGCCTGGGAACAAGTCCCGTGCTGGTGCTACTTCTATCGCATCTTAGAAGGAAATGTAAGAAAAGACAGAGAGAAGAAAGTAATGTCACACTCATCAACACCACTACAAGTGGGTGACCTAACCCTATCATATTATGTTGTGTTACTTCTCCTAATTGAACTAAAAACAGTGGCAAATAAAATTTATGCATGTAATTGATGGCGGTCTGCATTGTTAGTAGAAGTGAAAGGAAGTGGAATAAATTTCAGCAATCACAACATTCTTGTTTTTATGTAATTCAGTAAAGAGAGAGAGAGGTACACTGGCAAGTATGTAAATATAGAAAGAAGACATTAAAATTTTTGGAATTAGAAATCATGTATATCTGTATGTGTGAAAGAGTTCAGTCACTCAGTGAAGAGATATCCCCATGCCTGGGAACAAGTCCCATGCTGGTGCTACTTCTATCGCATCTTAGAAGGAAAAGCGAGAAAAGACAGAGAGAAGAAAGTAGTGTCCCATTTTTTAACAGTGCCACCTAACATCGTCTTAGTGAATTTGGCAAAGCCATATGAAGGTAACCCAAGAATCTCAATATAAATCCTTATTATGAAAGAACCATGAAATGTGATATATAATTTAACACTCAGAAAATTATTCAGTTAATTCGCAGTTTAGCACGCGCACAAAGTTCACATTAAAAATTTCCAGAATACTTACATTTATGCGTAATTGTACATGCTACATTCGAATCAGGCTTGATAAATTTGATAAAAACCTACCATTTTGGAGTTAAACGACAGTAAAAGTTTGGATTCATTTGCGTCACGGCAGCCATTTCTGGTGTTGCTTGCATACATTTGCCGAGGAATAGCTATTGAGTGTAATATTCACTTGTCTTAATTATTGTGCATGCAACGCACGTGTTTATGTAAATAGTTCTCTTGCGCAGTAATTGAGACAAGATAGATCAGTAAAAAAAAAAGGCTGTTAACTACATTCTTCTGCGCTTAGCTTTCTGCAACAAATGTATGCAAACAACGCCAATAATGGCTGCCGCCAATGACACAAATGAATCCAAATTCTTATTGTTGATGACTCCAAAATGGTAGATTTTATGAAATTTATCATACCAGATTCAAATGAAGCATGTACAATTACACATAAATGTAAATTCTGGAAATTTTTAATGCAAACTGAGCGTGGGTGCAAAACTGCAAATTAGCCAATTATTCCGTTCTGATTCCGACTTAAAAGTAATGAATCATTTAAGGAAATAATGGAAAAACTTGAAATTCAATAATAAAATTTAACTCAACAGATATAGTATTTCTAACTGTTGATGTATGCAAAACAAAAGGGTGTAAAATTCATTCAGAAATATCTAAATTGTCAGCTGTATACAACCACTTTCCAAAATCAATGGTTAAAAAATGGCTTTTAGAGAATCAATCCTCTAGGTCTTAGTGAGGACCATCCTTTGAAGATAGTGAACTGGTGCTACAGAATCACAAAGAAATGAACTAAATAAGAGAATCCACATCACTTGACGACTATAAACAGCAGTAACAAATAAAATGGATAGTATGTAAAACTCAAAGGGAAAATAATGACATAATGAAGATGTTGACGTTCCACTCTACTTCAAACAAGAGGTTAGAAAGGAAACCCCCACCAATACTGGAAAAAACTATCACAGTAGATTTTAGAAACATTTCCTGAATAAATTGTTTTAATAGGAATTAATATTTAAATTTCAGCTGAACGCAACACTGGCTGCTCGGTCAATGAATGTCAAATCTTTTTTAATGAGGAAATGGTCGTGACCATGTCAAGCACACAGATACAACACTTTGATCTCAGCCCAATGGCCAAGGATTAAAGGAAAGTATCACAGATTGTTTGGTCAATGAATACCAAATGTTTTTCTTTTAAAGAAACTGCTATTACCTAGAACTAGAACAGTGTACCCCAGTGAGCAAAATAAAGGGTTCAGTTCGAAATTCCAACCACCTGAAGAAGGCCAGAGTGTACAACGGCTGAAATGTTGTGATAAATATGGCGACAAAGATGAGGACAATAGTCCAAATAATGTAAATAATGTATATCTGTTGAGTTAAATTTTATTATTGAATTTCAAGTTTTTTCCATTATTTCCTTAAATGATTCATTACTTTTGAGTCAGAATTGAAATGGAATAATTGGTTAATTTGCAGTTTTGCACCAGCGCTTAGTTTGCATTAAAAATTTCCAGAATTTACATTTATGTGTAATTGTACATGCTTCATTTGAATCTGGCATGATAAATTTCATAAAATCTACCAGATTGTTAGGTCAATGAATACCAAATGTTTTCCTTTTAAAGAAACTGCTATTACCCGAAATTTTATTCATTTTCTAGATGAATGACCTACGTTCTTTATGTGACTCTTAGATTGTATGAATCTTTTTTGAGAATATAAAGATTTAGTGATACAAATCTTACTAATTAACTCATAACTTGGGGGCAAAGAGGCGAATTCATACTTTTTCCAATGGTAAATATAACAAACCCAACAGGAACCTGGAATTTCACAGTTCAGATGGAGAGACGTTAGAAGTATATGAACAAACACCTTCTCCTGGTCTGTCACTCCTCAGGCAATCTATGATTGATTCACTTTTTATGGTTTATCAACTCATTACAGGTTATTTAAAACCAGAAAATATTTTTAGGGTGCAAGAATTTCTTTTTTTTGAGATAAAGATTTAGTGATATAAGTCTTACTAATTAACCCATAGCTGGGAGGAGAAGAGGTGGCCTCATACCTTTCCCAAGTGTATTTGCGCATAAGTGAATATAATGAACATAATAGTAGTTAGAACTGGGTTCTCTGGTTAACATTTCCAAGCCATTATCCATTACACCATCTGCACATCCAAGCTTACAGCACCTGGTATTCCCAAGCAGTCATCCATCTAGGTACTGACCAGGGTCAACGTTGCTTAACTTTGGTGATCATTGGGAAACCGGTGTTTCAAACTGATGTGGCTGCAAACCTTCACAAAATCTCCCAAACCCTCTTCTACCATCCATTTCCTTATGTATGTTACATGCTGCTTTCCTACCCTCAATCTGTCTTGTGAGTATCAGGTTTTTCAAGCCCTTCTTCCTCATTATGGGCCCCAGAAATTTCAACTGCCTCTACCTGATGTTAAACATAAGTTTCCTTTTTGTTTTCATTTTCTCCAAAACCTCGTCGTTGCTCACATGTTCAGTCCATGGTATCCTCAGCATTTTTGTGTAGAACTACATTTATGTTGCAGCAAATCTCTTCTTCAACTTTATGGAGATTGTCCAGCAGTCACTGCCATACAGGAGGACAGATGTCACGTAACAGTTCAATACTCTTTCCTTTGTTAATGAGATTTTCCCGTTTTTTTTGTATTTTGTTTAGCTTTTGTAAGGCATCTTTCACTGATATTATGTAACAGTTCAGTAATCTTTTCTAATGCATATTTTCTGTCTCTTAATACTCTTAGGTTTTGGAATGCCTCTTTGGAAATCCCAATCCGTTTTCAGATCTGTGTCAAAATTCATTGAGAAAAAGCAAAGAAAAAAAGTATAATATCTATTATGATTCAATACGAGTCATTAACTATAAACAATGAATAATTAAAAAAAAGAAATAAAACTTTTGTCAACAATTGCACTTTATAACAGAGACAAGAATTTCTTTCTTGGCACTAATTTTTAACATGTTACTTTCTTTGGTGTTAATAAATTACAACTGGCAGCAACATCTCTGATTGAGAGACGGGTGGTCTTGAAAAGTATGAAACTATCTCTTAATTACTGGTGTCCCAAGGTCTTCCCTCACCCAGAGTGGTAACAAATGTTAGGGTCCCAGCTATGGGCAAATATTGAACATCAAAACAAAACGCTATGCAAGTATAAAAATACATTTTTAGAATAAAATTGCCAGCAATATACAAATTTAGAGTAAAATTGCCAGCAATATACAAATTCATAGTAAAATTGCCAGCAATATATAAATTTAGAGTAAAATTGCCAGCAATACAAATTCATAGTAAAATTGCCAGCAATATATAAATTTAGAGTAAAATTGCCAGCAATACAAATTCATAGTAAAATTGCCAGCAATATATAAATTTAGAGTAAAATTGCCAGTAAAATTGCCAGCAATATATAAATTTAGAGTAAAATTGCCAGCAATACAAATTCATAGTAAAATTGCCTGCAATATATAAATTTAGAGTAAAATTGCCAGCAATACAAATTCATAGTAAAATTGCCAGCAATATATAAATTTAGAGTAAAATTGCCAGCAATACATTTTTATAGTAGAATGACCAAAAATACATTTCATCTGTAGTTGAAGACATGAAGTTGTATTCAAAATATTTAGATTTTGGCATTAAATGTTGATGTGCTGCTCAACGAAATCAACCAAACAGCCAACATGAAAGGACTCTTTCATGACATTAATCTATATAATTTCTTAAAGAAATCAAACTGTATTCCAAAATATAAACTATTAGGTTGGTGCAAAAATAATGACGTAATAATGTCATTTTTTGACGTATTTTTTAAGGTCAAAAAACGACATTATTACGTCATTATTTTTGCACCAACCTAATACAACATAAAATACATATATCACCAGTAATTATGTCCACACAAAGATGTATATGCACAAAAGCTAAGTATCGTCTACCATATACTTAGTAGTGAAAGCAGAATAACATATCATATTTTTATTACTTTAAAGCTCCCAAGAAAATTTAATTTTGGCATTAAATGGCCCATAAAGAGTTGATATGCCAAGTAAACATAAAAAAACAAAAAAACAAAAAAAAAAAAAAAAAGCCAACAAAAATAAAAAAAAGTTCTTTGGTGTTATGAAGGAACTTACGCATCTTTGGTTGCATCCAGTTATAATTTTCTTTTGCAGATTCACTTTCTAATTTTCAGTGGTTCTGATAATGATGCAAATAAACATTGAAATATAAAAACAATTATCCGAACACTTTTTCCATTCGTCTAATTTGAATTACAAATATGTAGTTGAGAGTCACCTTGCTGTAAGGTAATGTTGACCAAGTCATTCTCATTGAGCATTACAAGTGTGATATATGGGTGCTCTATAGTTCTGTCCTTGAGCCAAACTAAACTCACACGCACGTACTCATATATGCAGGTGTGTGATATATGGTAGAGTTAAATGAAATGAAACATGGTCCAAAGAGGATTGACCGAGGATGTAATTACTAAGGCTTGTCACGTTAGGGTGAGGAGGAGGAATTAAAGTGTTCTGTTAGGGTGAGGAGGAGGAATTAAAGTGTTCTGTTAGGGTGAGGAGGAGGTAATGGAGAAGTGGATTGTTAAAATAAAAAACGAGAGGGGGAGAGGGAGAGAGAAAGAGGCCGAAGATTGGAAGTACAAATATACTTGGGAGTCATTGAATTATATGTGCAGTAGGCATCAAACAGAAAATATGGGATCCAGGGAAGGTAGAGGGTAGGAGCCGAAAAAAAAAAAAATAAATAAAAAGAAGAAAATGGTCAGGAATGGAAGGGGAGTGGATGATGTGACAAAATCAAAAAATAATTGGGCTTCTAGTGGGGGTGGGGGTGACGGGATGGTCTAGGGTGGAATTAAGACAAATTAAAATACTTTAGCTTCTTGATCTGAGAAGCAGTCATTAAAATACAGACTATGGTGGCAGCAGTTTGAGAAGTGGGGAGCCTACAAGAAGAGACTGAAGAGAAAACACAGAGGGGAGTGGGGTAGTGAATAACATGGTTGGGTCTGGAGGGCAGAATAAGAAAGTAGTAGTGTTTAAACAGAAAACTTGAAGAACAACACCAAACCAAGAAGTAGAAAAGAAAATTTCCAAATATGGAAAAGACAGGAAGACAAGTGATTAAAACCCCAAAAAGTCCGGGGGGTAGAGAACTGAGAAAATAACAGTTAAAAAAAAAAAAAAAAAAAAATAATGAACCATTTTCACTTTATGACTGATAAAGAGTTTGTAGTTTATGTCACTAGTGGCACAGTCAAAATTTATTTTCATTCATTCAAAAGAGGGCTTTTATTTTTTTTTAAATTTGTATCACCCTATGGAAGGCAATAAAGCCACGAAGACACGGGTGGGGTGGGGGCTACAGGATGTGGAAGGATTAGAGAATATAAATTGGACCGGAAGAAATTTTCACAAGTGAAAAGTGAGCCAAAAGACACTACTAGCATAGAACTTACAATTACATCTCGTCAACTCAACTGTAAATTGATGAGACCTTGTTGCTAGTCTAGTACTGTACATATGATAAAATATAGTTTTAAGGTATGCTATATTTATGGGTTTAAAGTGCTCAATATCAGGAATTGTGCATATGTAAATATAAAAGACTGTCACCTCTGGGTGCTGACTTCAGTGCACAGTTTAATATAGGACTGTCCCAGGTAACGCTTTTCAAACTAAATTTAAAATATGCTGCAAATGAAAAAAAATTTTTTAAAATAATTAAAAAATACCTTGGTCTTCCCTCTTTAATTTTAACATAATCATTTACACGTTAAAATTTTTTTTTTATCAATTTGGGGACCTTTTTCTCCAGGGTATACCACTTTTTTAGTGTTACCTGGGACAACCCTATATATATCACATGCACATATATTAAAATAATAAGAAAGAACAGTAAGATTTATAATCTGGTGTTCTTAGCAATTATTTTTATTTAAAAAAAAACAACAGTGCTTGATACAAACAGTAGAGCAAAATATAATTATTTCCTATGGAATCATATTTTTAAAAAGAAAATAATTATCATATATATATATATATATATATATATATATAAAAAGAAAGAACAGTAACATGGTTAGAACTGTGTAGCGAAAAAAACATTTTAAATCAATTAATTTATAATATATATATATATATAAATAAAGAGAAGCTGCAAACGTTTTTGGTTATAATATGGATTTTATTAATATATATTTTTTTTTTCCATTTTTTTTGCGACATGGGTTTTGGGTCTTGTAACCTTAATCAGGTGAAGAATGGCTATTTCCACATTATTTAAAGGAATTAATTTTTTCAAGTTTTCTTATGTTTAACTACTGTCTTTTTGTGTATGGTAGTAATCCAAATTCTTTTTGGACTGATGGAAAAATCTTCCTTTGCTTCAATTAGTATAGCTCAGAGAAACATGTCTTCATTTTTGTGTATTCAAATGTCAATACAACCGGTTTTTGTGACATTTTTATCATATTGACCTGGAAAGGCCTTTAGATTTTTTTTTTTTTTTAAATCAGAGTATCTGATAGAAATCAAATTATCGCTACACAAGACTTGCTTGTTTCTTCATTAAGCATCCTCAGAAATTTTAATTGTCTCATTCTGATTGTAAGTATCAGTTTCCTTGAGGTTCATATTTTAATTAAAACTTCCTCGCTTCATTAATTTTCAAGTTTTCAAGGTAGACTCTTACTAACTTTGACCTTAAAATGTTAAAAGTAAATGTGTATGCAAGTTACTTGAAAAAACAATATCACAGCTTGACCCAAGTCCTGTGGGGGAAAAGAGTGTCCGAAATTTTCAAGTCGTGCAAAGTCAAATTGTTCAGCTACTGATTTTTCCAAATTATGTGCTCTCTCCCAGAAAATCTCACTAAGTTTGTGTTGAATACACAAGTGTGACTGAGCAGGCTTCTGCAGCAAGGATTAGCTAGCTACCTACCTAGTAGATGTGTATATTTGGAAACCAGCAACACACACACATATAATATATATATATATATATAAAAAAAATGAAAAGTGTGTGTGTGTATATATATATATATAAAAAAATGAAAAGTGTGTGTGTGTATATATATATATATATAATGTGAAAAGTGTGTGTGTGTATATATATATATATATAATGTGAAAAGTGTGTGTGTGTATATATATACATATATATATATATATAATGTGAAAAGTGTGTATATATATATATATATATATATATATATAATGTGAAAAGTGTATAT